ACGAATGAATATGTGCATTTCACTTAAAAAAAACTTTTAATAGTGAAGTTTGTTATGTGATATTGAAGTTTGAAGTGTTATGTATAAGTAAATCTCTTCGTTATTTGATTTATATGTAAAATAGTTATAATAATTTTATGATGTTTTTGTGTTTTATGAGTTTTTTTTATCAAACATGTCGGTTAGTTAAGGATATTAGTAAAAAAAGTTTATGTATGTACCATAGATTATATCTAGATAGAAACAAAATCAATTAAGAATTCTTGGACGGTGTTTACACCTTTATGATAGCGGCATCTAAACTTCCGGCTTACTTATCCGAGAATAAGTTTTTGTGTCTATGTTTGAAACTCTGAAATCAATCACACTTAACTCCTGACAAAGTTAGGTATGATTTATAACGTCGAAGATTTCAACTTAATTAATAGTTTTGAACTTCACATTGAGAGGTTGACCTTTCAATTTTAACTCCACACCCTCAACGAGCTACGTTCCTCAACATGACTTTTACTCAAGTATATTTTTAGAGATGATCATCGATAGAACAAGAATTTATTATCTAAGTATCAGAGAAATAGCCACCAGACCAAGAACTTCAATTTTTATATAGTTTGTTGCATGCGGTATAAATGTCACTGTGGGAAGGTTGTGTATCAAATTCTAAGATATCTTTAGCTCTCAGAAAGTTGAAAATTAAAAACTAAATTTAACATTGCTCAAGAGTACTTCAATTATTTCATAAAATTAGTATAATAATTCTAGAAGATTTATTGAGAACAAAAAAACATGTTTTCAAGTTAGATTTTAAAATAAAAAAAATTAATTGTTATTAAATGGATGCATTTTATTTTATAAGTCTAAGAAAATAGATACTTTGTATAAATTTTGTGAGTCACTTAGACTCAAACATCAAAATTAAAAATGTAAGAGGTAGAAACCATTTCATACAAGCGTCTATTTTATCTACCACTAATTTCACGTCTTCAAAAATTTTTTGCTTCTATGAGTATTGCTCTTCCATTGTTAACCTTAGGGGTAGGGTGGCACATTGTGTTCGTTCTCTGCTTGCTCATGATATCTAGGCAATCGTTGGTCGATGTACCTTTATTGACCACCACAATGGTGGTTTCGGCTGGTCCCTTGGTTTTACTAAGGTAGTCGAATGTCCTCATGCATGAGACGAATGGGTAGACATTGACCATCAGTTTTTACTCACCCGTTGTTCTGCTGAGTTCTCTATTGTGGCGACAATCTGATGTTTTTGCCTTTTGGTGGACAGTGTTTCTAACATACTCCTCTGCAATATGGATGTTGGCTAGTTCCAACAATTTAGCTAGGTTTTATACTTGATTCATACCTATAGCACATCAAAATAGCTCTCCCCTCAATCCTTGGGATAAGGCTGCATTTACTATTCTGGATTCGAGAAACCACACTTCCAACATCTTCTTCTAGAATTGAGTGATATATAAGTGCAGTCTCTTGTGTTGTTGCTCCTACTTAACCTGTGAGATGGCTTATAAACTTTTTGCAACATCTACGTGCTAGTGAATTATGTCACAAACAACCTATTTAATTCAATAGAGGATGTGATTACCTAAGAGAATAACTTGCTGAGCCATTCGAGGCCAAATTCCCTCAGCGTGGTAAAGAAAAGATGATACATCAATGCTGCAGTAATCTTCAACAGATTGATAGATGATTCAAACAATGTGATGTGATCGGTAGGATCCAATTGACCTTTATCCAGTGGTTTAGCAACTAAAATATACGTGGAATGCATTCTTCAGCTAGCAGGGGCCTTCATGTGTCCAAACCTCTATCTATGCATTGGCATAGTCCTAGCACTATCCTGGTACTGGGAGTCTGTGAATCTCTCTGGCCTCTAATTCATTCTGCAATCTTGATGATTAAGTTCATCCTCTCAGTGGCTTTGTTCCTGAGAAACTTGCTCACTTCTTTCGAGCAATGCTCGGGTTAACTCTGTCATCTAGCTCAATATCTGGTCTCTAAGTCCTTGAATTTATTAATGGAGAAATTTCTTTGTGCAGTCCATATTTTATGTGTCTCTCAGATGGGTTTCTTCTCGGAATGGTGTTGTTTTTACTGCTTTTAGTATGCTCTACACTCACCACACCTTTTAAGATGTTGAATTCAAGATTTTCTTATTAAACACACCCAAGGGGTAAAGCATATAAGAATGAGAAAGAGAGAGAGAGAGAGAGAGAGAGAAGATTAGTTGAAATGTTTCATTATCCCTTTTCTGTAAAAATGACCCACTATTTATAGGCTCGAGGAGTATAAAGTGTACAATTACCTGCTTGTACCTGCCCAAATGAGGATGTCACAGGGTATTTTGGTCATAAATAAATACATTGATAAATAAATAAAAGTTCCCTGGCTTGGCTGCCCCATCACTCAGTTGTCCAGAACTGATGATCCTTGGTCATTCAGGTGCATTGAATCGGTTTAGCTAAGTTAGAGCAAATAATCATCTTGGCAAAGGAGCATCGATCGACCTAGCTAAGGACCTTAAGTCGGCTTGGCTGAGGGCCTTCAGTCGGCCTAGTGAAGGGCCTTCGGTCGGTCTAACAAGGTTTGTCAGTCAACTTAGTAGGGTAGTCGATTGACCCACGAAGGTCCCTAGGTTAGAGAACTTCATTCAGCTAGCTCCTTTGCTCCGACTAGCAACCCTTGGCCCATTAGATGTTTGATGTTACTCGAAAAGAACCATGTTGACTTTTTAGTCAGTTCTTTGTACGAGTTGATTTTGATTTTTTTATCAATGGATCCATATTTATTTTCTAGCCAGTTCTCCGTACAAGAGCATCTATATTGGTTGAGATTACTCATGCTAATCGAGCTTTTTCCACCAGGAGACTATTTTGTCTATCTATTCTGATGTTATTCAAGTCAGGATGCATATCTCCTAAACTATTTGGCGGCGCCTCAATCAATGGAACTAATAAGCCTATTTGACCATCCCTTATTAAGTGCATCTCATTGTTTTCTAGTTAGGTACATATATTCTAGACTATTTGATAGTGTTTTAATCAATGGAACTAATAAGCCTATTTGGCTAGTTCTTGATAAGAGCATTTCATTGCTATCTAGTCAGGATACATATCCCCTTGACTATTTGATAATGTCTCGATCAGTAGAACTAACAAGCCTATCCTGCCAGTTCATGCTAAGCGCATATTATTGGTATCTTGTCAGGATACTTATCTTATACATGATTTCATAGTGTTTTAATCAAAAAAACTAATAAGTCTATTTGGTCACTTCTTGAAAAGAGCATTTTATTGTTATTTAGTCAGGATCCATACCTCCTTGATTATTTGATGGTACCTCAATCAATGGAACTAATAAGCCTATTTAGCCTGTTCTTAATAAGAGCATATCCTTCCTATCTAGTTGTCATATATCGCATTTGCACCTGCACTCTGCACCTTGCATTTGCACTTGCACCTTGAGATGTAACATGCAAGATATGCACATGCACTAGTCATAATACATATTTCATGGACCTACAGAGGATATCATAAATTAATCAAAGATTGATGCAATTCGATTAAAATCAAACCGGCTTGAATATGCTAAGCACTATAGCTGATGTGACATGTCAATCAACAAGGTAAGCGAAATCTACAAAGTCACTCAAAATATTAGGGTAGACTAGATGAGATGAGTGGCCCAACCCATATGCATTGCTTTTATCAGGGCTTCAACAAGATGCCTCCTACTGGGGAGATCTCATATTTTTAATCGGATGCATGTGTTTCAATCAGTCATGAATCATCTACAAAATCATGATGGTCTTCATCTCTAGACATGCATAGGATGAGGCAATTTAAAATCAACCGTGTCAAACGCAATATCAGAGGGTTTGAAACTGCAATTTAAAGATGCTAACTTGTCCTCGTATTGAACTTCTGCCTTCAGGGTCTTCTCGAATCATTCTTTAATATGTTTCTATGTCCGTCTATTATTGCTTCATAATTACTTCATTCATAATTATTATCGGCTTCCCAAATGTTTCTAAAGAAATATTTATGCACTAAAATGAGAGTGGAGTTCATCTTTCTAAATCACAGATCACCCAATTGTACTGTCCTCACCGACCTTATATTTAAACTAGTTTTAAATTAATAAAACTATTTGCAACCAACATGGTTTCCACGACGGGCAGGTGAGCTGAGGAAACACAGGTGGTGTTTCCTCTTTAAAATCATTTACATGAAAAAACTTTAAATTTTTTATATTCTTATTTTGAATATATCTTAATTTTTTCTTTCATCCATTTAGAAGAGTTCAGATCACTTTATTGAGAAGTTAATGTTAGCCATTTTATCTATTAAATTCATTTTAGATTACTCTTTGATTAAATTTTTTAATGGTCCAAATGAGCATGAACATTTAACTAATTTTCAAAATTTGAAGAGCACTAATATAAATTTAAGAGACTTTAATAACAGATTCCAAAATCATTAATTTCAGTAAGCCTATAGCTAATCCAATGGCACTATGAATGAGCTCTGTGAGTCCACATAGGCTTTAAAATTACCAAGTTCTCGTAGTTTTTCCTCTCTTTTATTTGAATACTTTTTTAAATGATAAGTAACGTCACCTGAAAGTCGTTGTCCACTTACCGATTTGCATTGGTAATTTCATATTACGCTAAACAGTAACTGTTAATCAACCACAGTTATGAAAATGTATGGTGGACTGAAATTCCATGTGGCAAGAAGCCGCTGGCTGCATCGAGACTATCCATGGAATCGTTCTGATAGGTTGGGATCAATTTAATAACGATATATGACAATAAAATATAAAAAAGTCGGTGAAAAAAAGTTTTTATTATTCGTCAAATTCTTCTCCCATTTTCCGGGTAACAATGCCAATAAATAGGGAGGAAAGCATAGCTGTTCCTAAGCTGCGGTGCTTTGTTTGCTGGATAAAAGGAAGCAGAGGTTGAGGAAAAGGTAGAGATTGGAATCATGGCTAATGAGAGATCAATGGAGGAGGGAATTCCACCTAATTCTAGAGAAGAGGAGAATGGATCATCTGCTGATAACGATTCAGCTTTGAGAATCTCTGTACCTTTTCTGCATAAGGCATGCTTCTTCGTCCTCTGTTTGCTTCATTTAAAATCTGCACGCTTTGCTTGAGCTCTATTTGAAGACATCTTAATGAATCTGCACGCTTTACTTGAAGTCTATTTCTATCTATTCATTTAATGAATTTCATTGCTAATTTTGTCGCAGATAACTGCCGAAATAATTGGCACTTACTTCATAGTCTTTGCTGGCTGTGCTTCCGTGATTGTGAACAAGAGCACTAATGGAACTGTTACATATCCTGGAATATGTGTCGTGTGGGGATTGGCTGTAACAGTAATGATTTACTCCGTGGGCCACATCTCTGGAGCACACTTTAATCCTGCGGTTACCATTTCATTCGCTTCTTGCCGCAGATTTCGCTGGAAGCAGGTCTGCTCATTTTAGATATTTTTTGAATTAGTGAAAATTTGTTTTGGTGGAAAATTGGAGGTTGTGCATCTATTTGTCCCTAATCATGAATTCAATTCAAAGAAATGTCATTACAGGTACCAGCATACATTGCAGCACAATTGATAGGATCAACCCTGGCAAGTAGCACACTTCGCCTTCTCTTTGGGGGCGGTCAAGAGCTCTTTGCAGGAACAATTCCAACAGGCTCTAATATCCAATCTCTGATTCTAGAGTTCATCATCTCCTTCTATCTCATGTTTGTAATTTGTGGTGTTGCCACTGATGATAGAGCCGTAAGTCACTTTTTCTCCTCACAATGTTGTAAATTGAGACATTTATACTGAATTAATATTATTATGCAGGTTGGTGAGCTTGCGGGAATTGCTGTTGGAGCCACTATACTGTTGAATGTTGGCTTTGCTGGGTACTATTTAATTTTGATCCCTATAAGTTTTGAACCTGAATAGAAATTAAAAAAATTTGAATTTCATTGGCTCGTATTAGGCGCAAAATTATTTCTATTTGCCACATCTAATTTGCGTTGAGCCGCCTATAGCAATTGTTCCCAATTTAAGATGAAATTAAGCTATTAATAAATTAAAAAAAAATGGATGCATTAGTATGGTAATAATTACCAATCTTTCTAAGTCATTATGATATTCTGTTGGCAGTGCAATATCAGGAGCATCAATGAACCCAGCTAGGAGTCTAGGACCAGCAATTATCATGAATCGCTATGAATCAATATGGGTTTATATGATCGGTCCAACTTGTGGGATGATTGTCGGAGCATGGGCTTATAATCTAGTCCGTTTTACTAAAAATTCAACTGGTCAATTACCAAAGAGCGGCTCCTTTCTCAGAAGGATCAACAATAATGACTCAAAGTAATGTGATAGTTCACCATGGATAGTAGAGAAATTTCTTTATCTATATAATCTTGTTCTCGTCTTCTATTAGTAAAATATATTTTATATGGTAATTTAAACTGCATAGACAGGAAACTAGACTTGTAATTTGATGCATTTTTTTAATTGATTGATGTTGATTTCCTAGGAATTAAGTGGTTCATGTTAAAAGGAAATTATCTTGATAGAGCTTGAGTTATGTTATGAGCATATTTTTGGTGCTTTATTATGTTGTCTGGATGGATCAATACTTTCATTTAATGTTAATTACATTTTTTATCTTTTTTCTCAAATTTAATGAAAAAAGGTATAATGTGAAAGTAAGATTTGTCTTAGATATGTAAGATATCTATTCTTTTTGACAAGATGACAACCTTCTTTATAATAAAAAAAAATTTATAGTCCTACAAAAAATGAAGGTACAAATTCTACTATAAGTTTTAGTATTTTTAAAGGAAAGGACATCTTTTTTAAGAATATAGAATGAGTTGGAGAAACAGAAGATGAAACTATGTAATAAATCTTCTAAAGTTCTCATAACTAAAAATATTTTACTAAAGTTCTCTTCCAATTCAAAGTTGGTACATACAATCAAATATTGCAAGAACCAATTTTTTTTAAATGCTGGTTTCTTAGCTTTTTTAAGCATTTAAGGATCCTAAGATTTCTTATTTGTCTCTGTCATTTGGTCATACGATCAGTGCTCCTAGTTATTATGTTGCTTTTTTTATGATTAGGACATAATCCTTTGCAGTGATAGTTATAATCTAGACTTCTCTAGACTAAGGCTACAAAGAAGCTCAGCATCATGTTGCTTTTGATTGGATTCTTCCTCTCTATGCAACTTTGTTTTATAAGAAACATGCATCTAATTCTAGTATTCTTATTAAAATTCTTAGGAATATTTCATTGAGGAGAGCACTTACTAACTTCTATAATATAGCTATTAAGAAACATGATATTTATCAGTAAAATTCTTACATTGTATATTTATGATGAGATTGAGGCAAAGGCTACTCCTTCAATAGATGACATTAGAATCTTTTAGAGTTATATATATTTTTGCTTTGTTTATTAGAAAAAAAGCATGTTATAGACTTCATCATCTTTACTACTTAAGATTTTGTACTAGACACATGACTTATTTGTGAGGCTCGATTATATAAACTAAAGAATTTATGACATATGTTTGGTCTGCAAACCATTTATATAAGTCGATAAGTTCCACTATTTAATATAAAAAATTAGGTAGGGTTTATATCACTTAGATTCTTTAAGCTCCCTTTAGAGGCAAGCCCCTATAGTCAATTACTTCTTAAATGACCGAAGTCACATAAGAAAACTCTCAATTTAAATTAGAAAATATTGTCTCCAAGAATTTTAAACGATAGGACTTTTCAAAGATCGGACCAAGAAGTGTCAAATTGGAAAGACTCAATTTTAGAACATTATTATGGAATCCAAAGGAAGAAAACTTAGGAGGATTAAATTTGGAAAGACTCAATTTTAAAACAAAGGAAGAACATTATTATGTCACAAATCCTGAGGAGAATCTCAATGAATTCCCAAGCTATCCTATGATTTAGCTTCAATTTCGAGAGAAATTTTTTAATATTTTATCCTGTTAATTTTATTAGTTAGGGCTTACATTTGTTTGAGACGGTTGCACAAATAACCTGAAAGATAGGAGGATTTATGTCGTATCAGACGATAACCTCAGAATCCTAAAACGAGTTAGGGCTTAGATTGCACGACATGATCATGTAAAGGCCTAAAGATAAGGTGAGGATTTATGTCGCACTAGGCGAACAACCTCGAAGTCTTATGGCTTGTTGTTTAATTATAAGGAAAAAGATGTGTTATTGTAAATCCTCATGATGTTGTAGATTGTTGTTCTAAATTGCTACTGTTGAAGGCTACCCACAAAGTTAGCTTCGAGCTCCTCAATGAAGTATCACTCCTATAGTCTAAATGTTTAAAGGTTTAAATAACAAGTTTATTTCAAAGAGGGGGGGGGGGGGGGGGTTAAAGTTGATTAGACTGACATCGGTTAGGATCCCACGATTCCATCGTTCCGGTATCAATATTTTCTTTTAAATTTACTTAGCTTAATTGAGTTATTAAACCCATTTAAATCGGGGAGTTCTTGTTAGCAACCGTGGGATACCTCCTCCGAGGAACTCCCGTAAATTCAAAAGAACGTGTTATAAAGTTGTTGTTTTTGTTTTGGTTATGAAAGTATTGTTTAATTATGAAAAAGGTTGATTGATTTTAGAAATGTTTCTTTTATTTTGATGTCATATGCAGATTTGTTTCAAGTTTTGCAGAGCAAAGTAGACAAATACAAGTAAGAAAGTGTTGTAAAGAAAACAAATTTGCATAACAAATTGTAAATATGTATATATATAATTTTGCTTGAAATTTAAATAAATCACAGGAATAGGAAGACAATACAATGATGTAGTTACAAAACCCATGGTTATGACTTGATGAGTCCCTAAAGGTTTTGATGGATGACTTTCTGGAACAAAGAATAATAAGTTCAATTTTCCTTCAAAATATTCATAAGGTTATAAAAGTATTTGGGGAACAATCCCTAACAACCTTTAAATCCTTTTGAAATGCTTTGAGTTCATTTAAACCTATTGTATTGTTCAATTGATCATCCTAAATTTTAAATTTAGTTTCAACGAATTAAGTACACCATATGCTTAGTGGACCTGATATTTTAATTTTCTTAAGAGTGAGGTAGTCCAAATATTCACATGATATTTTACTTATGAGTTATGTAAGTGAATGCCCTTAAGATAAGTTTAAGTTATAAAAGATCTTGTACCCACCATTAAATTTGGGCTTGTAGTGTTTTTAAAATATTCATAATTAGTAATCTTATTTTTTCTAAATTTGGTTAAACAAGTTAAATATCAAGTCTAGCTCACTACTAAGCCCTTAACATTTTTCATGCGTAAATTTGTAATTATCAAACTATTAAATTAAGTGGAATATTTTCTTATCAAAAGATCATATTTTCACCAATCTCCAATTTTGGGCTTCAAATAAGAGAATTATTATCTTCCTGACATAAGCCCACCACTTTAAAATCACCTGGTTAGATTAACTTCCAAGTCATGATAATTTATGAAATTACAATTTTACCTTTATCATGGAAATGTGGCAAATTAGTTTCTACCTCTCAACTCATTATATTTCAAATATCCGGAAGAGTTCATTATGATCAAAATTTTTCATTTTCCTTTGGTTAATCCTAAATTTGAATTAAGACATCAAAATCTAAAATTACCATTTTGCCCCTCGGGCTCTCCACTACATAACTTATCAAATATAACTCAAATGGCTTTGAAATTTTTAGAGTACCCCACTCATGAGTCAATTAAAATATCAGAGGAAAAAATATAATCTTTCAAATTTAATTTGGTTTAAATAATTATTTTAACTTAGAAAACATGATTTTTAATATTAATTTATTTAACTAAACAAAGTAAAATTTTGTTAATGGGAAAATTATTAGAGGTTCACCTAGGTCAGAGGATCGCTTGGGCAGAATATTATAATTTTTTAAATTATATTTTAATTATAATAATTATTTATTGATTTTAGTAATTTAATTAAATAGAAAATATGTTTTAATTACAAAAATTACATTTTATATTTTTATTAAATTCCTCTTAGTCCAAATAAATCATGGAAATATATTTACATTTTTGTGATTTTAATGTATTTATTATAATTATTTTAATGGAAAATTATAAAAAATATATTTTTAGAATTTAAAAATTTATATTTAACTTAGAAAAATTAGGAAAAATATTCTAATTAGTCTCAAGTGGTCAGGAAGTAATTATGATCAGTTTATACTATTTTCATATTTTTTGAAATTTTTAATCATTTTTATTTATTTTTAATTCAAAAAATAGCTCAAAAAATGAACTGTTTATTTAAAAATAATTATATTTTTTTCAAGGTGCTACTGATCACAAAAAACTCAGAAACCCACTTTTCATGATTTTTCTAATTATATTTAATTTATTAACATTATTTTAATGCCAAAATATCATTTTTACTTAGAAAATCAACTTTAGTGATAAATCTAATTGAAATAAATCTCAAATTTTTATAGTGATTTAGAATGAGTGCTATTTATAGTGTGGAATCATTTTTGTTAATTTTTGAAATATATTAAATTTATTTTAATTTTTATGAGTTTTTTAGGTTTATTAACTTTAGTTATTAACATAAGTATTCAAACTCAATTTATATTTTTCCAGGAGTCCTCTAATCATAGGGAACCTACCAAAATAAGTTCCATAAATTTTTTATTTATATTTTAATTTATATAATTATTCTAAGCAAAACAGATATCTAAACTTGGAAATTAGGGTTACATGTGTAGAGACACTTTCTGACTTTGGAAAAATCACAAACTTTCCTTATTGCCATGAAGAACAAACTCCTAAAGTCTCAAGCCATGGTAATTATTATTTAGCTAATTAAACTTAAAAGACTCGATAGAGTACTTATTTAATTAAAAATCAGAGACTCATCAAATAATTTTACTTTTACTCCACAATGTTCTCTTTTGTTCACTGAGCAACTAGGTATTTTTATTTTATTTTAATAATTTTTCTACACCAAGTTATGGATTTTCTAAGTTATGAAATTAGCTTGGATGATTGTCCTACTTATCTGAATCACCTGTCGCGCATCCTACGAAGCTCTGAACTTTCCACGCATCACCGCATTACTGGATGCCACCATCTGAGTCAGCTGCCACTCTTTCACGCTCTATCGTCCCATCCCTCAATCCGATGAGATTTGGACCGTCCAACCGATACACGTGGAAATGAACAACATTCGTTCATCAGCCTCAATCAGCATAGCCCAAGAATTGTTCAACTTCACCCTAAGATCTCTATCTAGACTCAACCAAATTGCTTAGGGTTTGTTCATACACCTTCATATAGT